CGCTGTGGTGTAAACCATTGAACCTTGGGCTTGCCAATCAGAAGGTCGGCGGTTCAAATCCCTGCAACAGAGTGAGCTCCCATTGTTCAGTCCCAGCTCCTGCCAACCTAGCAGTTTGAAAGCACCTCAAAGTGCAAGTAGATAAATAGGCACAGCTCTGGCAGGAAGGTAAATGGCATTTCCGTGCGCTGCTCTGGTTTCGCCAGAAGCGGCTTAGTCTTCTGGCCACATGACCCAGAAAAAAACTGTCTGCATACAAACGTCAGCTCCCTCCGGCAGTAAAGCAAGATGAGCGCCACAACCCCAGAGTCGTGCGCGACTGGACTTAACTGTCAAGGGTCCTTTACCTTTACCTTTTAGTACAGTCTTTGCCCTGCCTCATGTGGCCTCCCACTCTTTGCCTTGTGCTTCCCAGTTGTGCTGCACATCACCATTTCTCATTTTAAACAGCTATGATGTGCTCTCCAAATTTGTGTGGATCATTTGTTTTTCCAGTATTACATTTCCCCTCTCTTGTGTTCATCCTTGTCTTATTCTTACTAGCAGAGTTTGTTTTATTTGGTATGTTTGTTTTTTTAAAAAATGCTAGGCCTCTGGCCATCTTAGACTGGGAGAGGAAAACTTTTCCTATGAAGGGCAATTGACCTATGGGGAATGTTAATTGTGGGGTCTGCAGCCAGTGGTGGGTGCAGTTTACAACATTGCAGGATTGTGTGACTTTTTATTTATATGTTCTACCTTATCCCATCTCTACCCCTCTCTCTCTCACACACACACACAAATGAAACAGAAGTGAATTCCAGTGGGGCTGGGTGGAGTGCAAGCATAGCTCCCAAAGTGTCCGCAGAGCCAGATGAACTGCATCCAGCCCTCTGACCACAGGTTTCTTCACCCCGGGTTTAGAGTCTAGACACTTTGCTAACTTTTCTGTTAGCACCGGTGGCAAAGCAGCTGCTTTATGACCCTATCACAAGGTTCTTCTCCCTGTCATCATTGTGAACCTCTGCCTGTTAATATCTGGCCTGCTTAAATGCAATGCCATGTAGTACTTTTAAAACTCCATTTAGGAGGCCCACAATGTCACTTGTGATTGAAACACATATAACAACTAACATCTCAGCTTGTAGAAGCCTAAGCCAAGGGAAAGCTTGGACCATCTGGATTCCCTGTAAAGGCAGCTGCATCAGGTGATTCAGTGGGCAAGGCAATTTTATTCCTCTCCCTGCTGTATCTGCAATTAAAAGATAAGTAGGCAATGTTACCCAGAAGAGGCTTGGTTGCCTCCTCCTCCTCATGTCACTGATGTCACAGCACACTGTGATTGACCAAATATGCTGAGAATTTTTGCCTGGGTTGGGAGGGGGAGAGATGAGACTGGTGTGGGTGGTCATTTGCTACCCTTTGCTATGGCATTAAAAATAAGTTTGCAGCCATGTCCCATGGAGGTGTGCCTTCCCTGTTCTGAAAATACCAATGGACTCATTTGCTTGCAGCAGTGTGTTATAGTAGATCCAAGCATCCTTTCCACAAGCTTAAACATGTAGCAGGAAGCTATCACGTAGTCCATGTCCCCTACCCCACTCCTCTGCAGCACTAGCCTTTAGGACCTGAGTGGGATGCTTAAAAGACTAAGAAAATACTGAATCAAGTGCGCTACTTGGGGACTATGTCTGAGGAGTTAGTGAAGCAAGTTGTTAATCAGAAGAGCATTTGGATGTTATGTAAATTACCAGAAGGTGGCCCTAAAGCTTTATGTTAAGAGTTCAAAAGAATTTTCATAGTGTAATTTATGTTCCTTCAACTCCTCATTCAGCAGAGTGAACTGAATACAAATTACTTCTTAGGTTTTATGAGATGTTTCAAGCAAAGCTTACCAAAGTTAACTAAACTACCTCCTAACAGGCATGGTAAAAAACTGAACCAAAATACAGACATGTGACACAGCGAACATCTAAAAAAAAGTAGGCCAAGTTGTGTGAGTAAAGTAATACCATAATTTCTCAGGGCACCATTTGAAGAAAATGCAATGAAATTAAAGAACTGCAAGAAAACTCAAGGAGTTGAAACAGGAGTGTGGCATTCAGTTAAGGGAATATCTGTAAAATAAATATATTTTTGACTCCAGCAGCAATCACCACCATACCTTATGCATCCTCATCACATTTGAATCGGTTGGGTTCTTTGTTTAATATGTCCCCTGAATTTCTTTTTATGGACATGAGAATGTCCGTAAAAAATAAAATAAGAAAGCAAGAAAATGCAACCAGTTAAAATCAGTAAGACTAATTTGCATGTAGTTGATTTAAATGGGGCTAAAGCATGACTACCTTTGCTTGGCATTAGACTGCCACATTTTGCTAATTGTGAAGTGTACATTCTAGGATATTAATCTGATAGTGTTACTTTTTCAATAAAACCATAGTTTAGTTTGCTAAAGTGCTAGTTCTAATACTCTCATTGAAACAGCAACAGATACTGAAATTTCAGGGCAGAGAACTCTCAGCATTGTTAAGTTTCCCAATGAAAGGATAAGCTTTGATCAGTCTAATGATATGCATATACATTTAGTAGTTTGCATGATATATGGAAGCATTTTGGCATATTTTTCCATGTAGATTACCAACCATCGATTCATTAAAGAAAAGAAAGAGCTTTGAGGCAGTTATTGAATTTGTGATAAGGGGAGGGAAAAGCAGCAGAGCAGGTTCTCATAAACTTCCACCTTTTAAACTTAGGAACTGTAAATTTATCAGATATATTTCTGAAGTGCCTTTTCAATGAGGGCCTAAACTAACAGACTTAAGGTTTAATCATTACACTTCAGGGAAATAATAAATAGATACCGAAACAACTGTAGCTTTTAACATGTTCCTTTTATGTTCTACTTTGTACAAAAACTTCATTATTAATGTTAGTAATGGTATGGCTGCATTGTACGTACTAACAATTCTAGACAAAATGTAGCTTTGAAAGACAATGATCAAATAAGGATTTTCCCTGGGTTAAGTGTATGAAATGTAGTTAATACTTCCTTTAACACGATTCTACAGAATTGTACAAAAAATACTTGCAAACTAAAACTCTGATGAGTAGATTAATAGTATTTTAGCAACATGGGAATTGCTTTAGTTTTTTTGTTTTTTGTTTTACCTTATCTGTCTGTCTCGTCTGCTTTCTTCCTACCTCTCCTTTGACTTTCTAATTTAAAAGAAACGCAAAATAAATACAGTACCGCTGCACTGCCTCCCATGAAGTAACAATGACCTAGTTGAAAGCCACCCACTGATACTACACCCTAAGCAGATATCTGTTGGATGCCAAGGTAATCCCTATGCATTAGATGGTTACAAATTTACTTTTATTATGGTTAGGCAAATGTGGATCTTTATTGAAAACTTATGTAGTTGAGCGGTTAAAGGACTGACATTCATATTCCTGCTGATACTCAGAATCAAACCCATTATGCCAATATTTCATGACAATGGTACATGAATACTTCTGGTCATGACCTACATAAGAAGTTTATTTTATTTAAAATTGTGTGATGGAATCACGGAAGTCACATGAAGGAACTCTCTTTTGGCTGGAAATTGTAAAATGGGAAGCAGCCATTATGACCGTGTGATTTCTGCAAGTTATCTGTTTAGGTTTTCACTTGCCACTTATTCTTCAGTACTTGTGTTGGTCAGTATACTTTGGGATTGTGTTAAGGCTGCGTGTCAGGCATGCATTGTGGCTACACTGTGCATCAGTGCTTAACTTTTGAGTTGGGCGGACTCCATAAAATTTTATTTCTTACATCCTTGTTTCTGATAACACATTGGAAGTGCTGTGAATGATGGCAAGTATTCCACCACGACCCCCTTATTAGACACGGTAGTTTCATTGGTGATGGTGGTAACACAGGAATGAATTCAATGGGAAGTGAAACTGCTGGTGTGAACTGAACTGAGGGGAAGGGAAGGGCCATGGCTCAGTACGGTGTGCATGCAGAGGGTCCCATGTGCAATTCCTGGCATCTTCAGGTAGGGCCGGGAATGTCCTCCCACTGAAACCCGGAAGGGGGTGGGGGCTACTGTCTGCTGACAGTACTGAGTTAGCTGGACCAGTTGACTCAGTATAAAGCAGCTGCCTTTGTTCCTATGACACAGTGGAGATATCACTGGTTTTTTTTACTTACCACTAGTGATGTAAGACTGTTTGAAAATGGAAACCCTTGTCTGCATACCACAGCAGTTACCCTGCCAACAGTACTCAATCTAGTAATGTATGCTTGCAACTTTTCCCATGGTGATAAATGTATTATTCACTGGGGGCGCTGCAAATACCTTTGTGCCCCAAGGGAAGGCAGAAGCAAGGGAGCCCAAGCCAGGGACTGCAGGTTGCATCAACTCCCAGCTGACATAGGAAGATTCTGTCTGTCTTGGTTTTATAGAATGTATTTGTTTTAGGGTTTAATTTTAAACTGCCTTAGGTGTCTTGACAGAGAGGAAGCATATAAAACAAACAAATAATGATGATAGTGAATCATTATTACCTAACATTTTACTTGATGGTTTTGTGTTTGGATGGGAAACCACATCAGGACCTTCTTTCAAACACTAGCATGTTTAAGTATATTATAACTTTGTGAAATACTCATTGGGAATCATATTAAAATCATTATCATCTTAGTTGAAACCATAATTGAAACAATGCATCTACAATATGGCAAATGTACCATACTAATACCAGCACTAGGTGTGGGCAGGTGAACTATAAAACAGTTGTATGCATGGGGTGTTAACAGATCCTTAATAGAGTCATGTCATTGCATTTTCCTTTCTGCAATAGTAGGCCAGATTGCATATATATATAGAGAGAGTGAGTTTTGTAGCAATAAAATTGAACCACAGGTTTTCTACATTATGAAGTACTGTCCTTGTACATACCATTTTTCCTTCTAGCCCCCAATCCCCACTTCCTCCATGCATGCAAAAAATTGGAATTAAAACTTGTGAATAGAGAAATGTGCCATATATTTTCCCCCCACGTAAATAAAACTTGAAAGTGATTTTAGGTATGACAGCATATATTATAATTTTATACATAGGAATTAGAGAATACAAAACACATTCCACTGTAAACTTTAAAGAATATTTAATAAGTTTTTAAAAAATAATGTATAGCTTTCCCCCCTTCCTATGAGGTGCATGAAAATATACCATTCCTTTTTGTTGCAGCAAGACTATCCAAGAAACCCAAGGAAAGCTACAATGATCAGGAACAGGTAACACTGGAAAGAATTTATATTCAAAATGGAACCTGAAATGAAATAAAGCTACATACGAGTTGAAAATGTTTTGCAAAATGGAGGGCAACATTTACAAAAGTGTTGGGTGTAGGCTCCAATGAGCTCAAATCTCTCACATCATCAATAGGACACATGGGCCTCTTTGCACATTACATTTTCAGGTATCCACCTGAGATATTTTAAGTGCACATCTAAAAAATGCAAAAACAGGGGTTGCTGTAATTTTCTGGGCTAAACCGGCTGAGACTAGGAGTCACATGCATCTTTTTCCTGCCTCCCCACCCCACTCCCCTTTTTTGAAAAAAGCAAAGGAGCCTCAAGAGACTATGAGTTTGAATGGAAGAATAGCTGGGAGGAGGGGGTCTTCCTCAAGCAGCTTTCTTCTGCTTGGTCTTGGCTCTTCAAGGTGCTTTTCTTTCCATAATAGTAAATCCATAGTTTTGTCTGTGAGACAAAGAGCAGGTGAGGAACGGCAATTTTGAGAGAAACAAAATGACTGGGGAGGAAAGGGTTAACAGATCCTTTCCCTCCTCTATCCCACTGTTTCTCTGCTATTCTTTCTTTTAAGGTAGGGGAAAATGCATGCGCCATTGTTTGATGTCTAGCCAAGACGTTTTGCCAGTGTACGCTCAAGATTCAAACTCGGCTCTGCCCCACTTGTTTTTGCAAAATGGCCTTCAAGTGTCTAAGGCTGCTCCTCTGCCCTGTTACTTGGGAGTAAGCCCCCCCCCCACCTTCATTTTTGTGCGATAGTTGGAGCACAACCTTGTGAACCAAGGGTGACAGCAGTACTTTTTTCACCTGCAGAATCCTGTCCTGTTATATACAGAAAGCTTTAACCGCAACAGGCCTCTGCCCGAGAACCTCTGAGACAACATTGCACTATCTTCCTAATAAGCCTCTTCCTATTTATAAGGTGCATATCCATCCATAGCATGTATGGCAAATTCACTTTTGTTGCTGTGGCCAAACAGCAGCACAATTAAAAGAAAAGATGAAATAAGTGTCATAGATCTATTTATAGATCAGTAATCGATCATTAATTCTGTGTGGTAGGGTACTCCTCCCCCCCCCCCCGCCCCCGGACAGTTAACAAAACTGGGCAGCTATCAATAGTTATTTTTACAGTATATTTAAAGCACACACTGCATCAGGTATATTCATAGTAGACACAAGACAACACAGTCCCAACAAATGATAGACGGAAATGTAAACCCACATCCTAATTTGCATTGACTTTGATAGGATTACAATAAGGCCTTGGGCCATAAACAAGAAATGAAGCACCAAGGACCCAAACCCATTTATTTAGGGGCAGGCGCAACACCTGAACCCTCAATGGCTTTGGTCATGTTGTACATTTAAAAGCCCTGTGCTTATCATGACATAGAAAAACAGCGGCACTGGCTTCTTTCATGCTGCTCTGAATGCGTGCCTGGCTAACAAACTAGTTGTGTGGGGCATGTGCACAGGGAAAGTTGTTAAAAAATCTTTTGTGGGTGTTGCTTATTGTGGATTCAGGAGCAAGGGAGTGGCTTAGTCAGAAGTGAACTCCTTTTCCTCATCTCAAAAAAATGGAGGACTAGAGTGGCTGGCTAATAGAACACAGCAGGTGAGAGATTACAGCAAGAGTTGGTTGCAGGATGTGTAAGCTGTAGTTTAGCTGCAGATTCCTCCCTTTGATGGCTGGTGTTGGATGAAATCCTTTCCCCTCGGACTGCATTGTTTCTGGCATTACATGCAGCCGCTGTTTGCCTTAGCACCAAGGTTGGCAGTGTTGTGTCCAGAAAGCTGCTTCTAAACAGATGATTTCACAACAGGGCTCAACCTTCAACTGGTCAGTTTTAGTTCCTTTGGTTTGGTTTTAAAGTGAAATACACTGTGTGGGTTTGCATGCTCTGAAACATATCTCATCAGCAGCTTGGAAACAAGTCCATTGGTTGCACACAAGGATGTGTGCATTTGTAACTCTGACTTCTCTATTCATTTCATAAGGCCTAGCAGAGGACCCCTTTAAGCCTTATACCGAAGGGCATCAGAATCCACTCTGGACAAGATAATGAGTTTTGCTGACAGATCACTGCTGCTTAAATGTAGCACGGCCCTATGGATATTGCTGTTTGCGTGGTTTGTTGCTGGTAGAGAAATGGCAATCCCTGCATCTCTGTGATAGATGGCAAGGGTTCACTGGAAAGAGCAGCAGGGCTGCTCATCTAAATTTCCACACGGCACACTGGTACTGCAGCATCCATTCAGCAGAACTGCAGTTTCCAGAGAGAGCACCAAAAATGTAACTTTTTTTTCTCCCCCCGCAATATTAGTTCCCTCCTCTTTGGAGGCAATACTACGAAAGGATTAATTTAAGACCTCTTGTGGGAACATCCTGTCCCATTCACCTCTACAGCACAACTTCTGTGCTTTTATCCGCTGAGCCACCAGGGCTGCTGTGTTAATTTTTAATGATGGGGACCTCCATAAATAGATTTCATCTGTCTTTAATCTTTTTGGAACCAATGTTTTATTAATGTATTCCATCACTCCATTATTCTGCAAATCCACAAGCTATCAATAAGGCATGCTTGTGAATACAACAGTGGTAATGAACCATGACAACAACTAACAGCACGGGAACTTCCAAGTTGCAATCTGTTCATATGTAAGAAAAAGGTGGGGAAAGGAAGCAAATGCCAGAGAGAGAGATGCTATTGCTTGAGGACATCATTATTAAAAGCTTGCACAAGTTACACTAAGGATGAGGGGTAGTGAGAACGATTCGGATGCATGGTGGGAAATTTACTTCCTAGTTTTTATTGTACACTTTGTTTGTTTCCCATAGCTGCCTGCTTCTCAACTTGCCTCTGGTTCTTTGCTCATATGGCAGGATATACTTTCATCTTTGATGCAAAAGATTATAGACCATGGGCCCTTAAACCCACACCTGCAGTTCATGTATAATTGTGCTATAGCCTAACTGTGATGTCAGCAATAGCTGAAGGCTCTAGACTCTCTCAATATTGCCGTTATGTTTCCAGATCTTCGCAAAATGTCATAGTTCTTGGGTGGGTACTGAGACTACATGCTTCCCCCCTCCCAAATCTTTTGTGGTGTCCAAAACTCTTAGTAGAAGGCAACCTTTCTATGTTCCTGAGTCAGACCATTGACCCATCTAGTGTACTACTGTCTATTGATTGGTGGGAGCTCTCCAGAATGCAGATGGGTTTCTGCGAGTCCTACCTGTGATACATAAACTCTTGACTGTTAACACCCAATGGCATATTTAGCTTTTTATATTTTATTAACTCTACTGAGTGACTCTTTGTAGCCAAAGAGTTGCTCAAAAGGAAAGATTTAAAGCTATGATATCACTTGAGCTTAACTCATCTGATGAGGTTTTGCAAATTTATAAATAGTGGGAATTAATCTGCATATTCCTATATACTCCAATCCAGGACTGCATATTAACAGGCAGAATGGCAAGCACAAAGGAGCAGCTGAATCTGAAGGTGGGGAGAATGGGAAGAGCAGGTTAACTCCCCTCAGCTGTTCAAGAGGGAGAAAATCAGGAAGGGTAACTGTACGTGTAATGGCTCCCTAGCTTGTAAAAATAGGGTTTACATGCTGGCTTTGTTGTGTGACTAGAGCAGACATAGTATGAACTAACTATTAGGGTTGGAGCAAACTCTGATTTACTAGCACAGTGTTTCTCTTGATGCTTGCTTACATACTAAAATGCTTGTGTCACATGTTAATATGTTATTTTTAATGGCCAGCTGAACTGATCACTATCTTTTTTTGCTCACAGATTACACATTGCAGTTTGCCAGCATAGAGAAGACCTGACATACCACACTAGCACCTAGGTCTGCATGTTTGCTGGTAAGAAGGTAAGAGAATATTGTTGATGAGTTTGGAAGGATGGGGGAAGAAAGTAGGCTCTATGCGAGATCCTTCAACCCCCTGGATCCAGGCTAGCGTCCCGTGCTGAGGTGCTCACCTAGGTGATGGACCGTTAAGAGGTGTGCAAGATGACAAATAGATGGAGCGCCTCTCTCAGCTCACTGTTAGTTAGAAGGACAAAGCCAGACTTTAGAGTTAAAAGTGGGAGTGATATGACCTAGAAGTGAAGCAGCAAGCTGCAGAGAGAGGGAGAGCAATGTTTCAATCCAAAGCTGTGGCTATGGGAGAAACATAGACCCTGTTTGGATGTTAATGCTGTGAGCCCCTCCATCATAGGCTCAGGCTACATATATGTGTTAATAAACCATGTATCATAAAGGCACCACAGTCTCTGTTGTGCCAGTGCCTGGAATCTTGCAAAGCTCAGAGATTGGGGGTGGCGTGCAGCAAAATTCTGGCTCTATAGCCTATACTATAGTATAGCAGGCAAAAGGGATGTACAAGAAGCTTGCAAAAGAAACAGGGAAATGCCTATGTAAAGTTTCACCTCTTTTTTGGCAATTCAAAGCCATTACTAGGGCTACCTATGTTAGCAGGAAAATTATGCAAACGTCCTTACTCTGCCTAGAGATAATTTGATTTAGTTCTTTTAATAGAGGTACAAGGTCAAAAAACCCAACTCAAACAAGTGTATATTAATGGATTGTTCTGATGCCTGGTAAGCCTATCCTAGTTGAAGATGAAATTAGTAGGGAGCAAATTAATGAAATGGCATATTAGTGACAAGTCGCTTAAAGCTCTTTGTTGTACTTCAAGCCTGGAAATGAGAAACACAATGTAAGTTGAAAGTGGAATGACATTTAAAAGAAAATCCAGAGGACAGTGACAGAAAGACAACTCCTTGCTTCTTGTTGTGTTTTCCAATGGCCAAAATGTCCTTTCCAAGAAATAATCATCTACCATTTCCTTTTGAATGAATGCATGGTCCCATTGAATATAGAACAGGATAGAACCCTTCCCTACTTATTTAGGCAGCTGCTAGACTACTTTTCTTTAAACTGCTCAGAGTGTATGAATCCACATATGTTGTATAAATTTTCACACATCAGAGTGTGTACCACTAGTGATTTAGTCTGCAAGACCGGACCCAATTTCTGCTTACAGATCACCTACAATGTAGGCCAGGGTAGATCCTGTCTGAGCTGACTTTCAGAGGCCACAAAACTGAAACCACTTCCTTAAGTAGAAAAGTTTCCTGGAGCCATTTCACTCCACGGTAATATCTGGAGTTCAGGAGCATACTTCTTGGATCCGCCACACTGGCTGTTGTTAAAGACAAACTCCAGTTAAATGGAACCTCCACATCCTCTGCACTTGCGTTGCTACAACTTGATTCTCTATTTCCACGCAGGAAAACTATTTGCCAGCAGCCTCCAGGAAAATGAAAGCAGCAGCCTCTTCCCACTTGACAGTCTGTGCAAAAGGGGAACAATTTTTCTTTCTTTCTTGTTACTTAGTAGTTTCCTTTGTCCAAGCAAGTCTGAGTTCCGATGGTGACAAACTAAGGTGAGTCACAAAATTTCCAGAGAAGATTATACACAGTTTATTTTACATAGAAAAAAAAGTATGAGCATGAAGAAGAGTCCTCTTTTGTCTTGTAGAGAGGTGAGCCATGGCTGACAGACGTTGACTATGATTTCTATGCACAGTAGGTATCTGCCTTGACAACCTGACAGTACATGGTCATTGCAAATGTCAGTCCAAGAATCTGTAGGTACAAAAGGCATATCAAGATTAAACGACATGCAACTCAACAGTGGTCTATTACCTATATTTCAATGTGTATCTTTTAGTGTTGACTCTTGGCACATACCGTATTTTTCGCCCTATAGGACGCACTTTTTCCCCTCCAAAAATGAAGGGGAAATCTGGGTGCGTCCTATGGGGCAAATGCAGGCTTTCGCTGAAGCTTGGAGAGCGAGAGGGGTCGGTGCGCACCGACCCCTCTCGCTCTCCAGGCTTCAGGAAGACATCCGCAGGGCTGTCTAGGCTGCGGATAGCAGCCTGCTTCCCGGAGCGTCGGGCGCCCCGAAAGCAGAGTGCCCAGGGCTTCGGGAACACATCCACAGCCTAGGCAGCCCTGCGGGAGGTCCCCCAGGGCTGTCTAGGCTGCGAATAGCAGCCTGCCGCCCGGCGGACGGGGCGCTCTCAAGCAGAGTGCCCCGCCCGCCGGACAGACATCCGCAGGAGTTCCCCGCAGGGTTCCCCACGCTGCCCAGCGGGTGGGGCACCCTCAAGCAGAGCACCCCTTAGTTTGACAGACATCGGCCAGCCCCACAAGCTCGGGAGACAGCAGGGAGGCGCAGCGCCGCCATCCCGCTGTTCCTCGACCTGGTTCGGTTTCCCCGACCTGCTTTTGGGGGGTGGAAATAAAGGAAAAATTTTTTCCTTTATTTCTCCCCAAAAAAACTAGGTGTGTCCTATGGGACGGAGCGTCCTATGGGACGAAAAATACGGTAATATGTTTAACATGGGGAATACTATGTAGTAACTTAAGAAAAGCTTCCAAGGGCCCTATAAACAATGTCTGTGCCAAACAAAATGGCATTCCGGAATGTGCTTGGCTTATGGCCACATGAAACACTCCAAAAAGGTAGAGCTGTTGATTCTTTTAGGAGGCATTCTTGTCCAAGTGTATGGAGACATATGGCGCTAGACTGCAACTGCCACCATTTACGACTACTGGCTAGGATGAATGGGAGCTAAAGTCCAGCAACATCTGGAGGGTCACAAGTTGTCCCACCTCCTGTCCTAGGGATTCCAGTGTCCAACAGGGAAAGAGGTGCTGTTCAATGCACTTGCTTGTAAACAAATTAATCTAGAATCATGGTGAGCTAAAAGGAGACTGTGGTAACACATAGGCTAACGTAGGGAATGGAATACACAACGACCCAAATTACACAGCACTTGCTCACAAATTCTCCTCACTGACATGAATGGGAGCTACAGAGCTCATGCCGGAAAAGCAGCATAAACATCATTCATGTTAATAGAAGATAAGCAAACTAACTGCATGTAATTTGCAGAATTAAAGGCTGCCCTTAAGAGATGTAAGACATTAGTCCTACTCCCGGAAGGGGAACTGTGTCTCCTGGCAGCATCCCCAACCAACATCACAGTCCCTGCCAGCCTTGTTAACAAGGAAGTTCTCTCTTTCTAGGTTCCTGCGATCTATGGTTAGATGCTGAGTACAGACCCGGGAGGTGCACTCCCCTTCCACACATTAGCTTCCATGGGTTCCCCAAGGCGATGGAAGGGGAAAATCATCGAAATAAGCCTCCAAAATCAGCAGTCAAGGGAAAATCATCGAAATAAGCCTCCAAATTTAATGGAGGACAGCAGTTGGAGATACATGTGTCTCTCTCCCTTTCTTTCTTTCTTTCTTTCTTTCTTTCTTTCTTTCTTTCTCTTTCTCTCTCTCTCACACACACACACGTGTACAATTTTTGCTGGAGGAGCCCTCCTATTATGGATCTGACAGTCAATATTGGACTAATACTTCTGTGAGAGAAAGAAAAGCTGAGGGACATTTAAACTCTTCACTGCCCTTGCATGTAGGAACCAACAGAAAGCACCCCAGCAATAAGTTAAAATTTTACCTGAACCAAAGCTGTACACAGTCCAAAAATTCCCACAGCTAACAGATTTTCCTGGAGCCATATTTTCACTGTTTCATAACAAGGCTTTAAAAGAGAGGGGGGGGGGAATAAAGACCATGAGAATGCTTATTTACTGAGAAACATGAATTTTTGGTGTGTGGGGAGTCAAAGGACACAAGTAGCAATGACAAGACTGACATTTCAAGATTACGCAGTTTCCTCTATTTCAGCATTCACTGGAAGTGCAATACCCCGGGGGTAGGAGGCTCGCTTACAATGAAGTGCGGTGTTAAGGGTTCAAACATTATACATCTGAAGAAGACACGGATGCATGCTGCGTGCAAGATGCAGTAATAAGGAGCAAGTTCTTTCGAACCCCCGCTTTACCCAATGTGAGTCAAATACCTACATTTCTAAATTCAACTGTAAACCTTTCTACTTCAAGCACAGGCGCAATGGCGGGTTGTGCAAAGGCAACTATAAGGCAATTACTGCTCAAACAAAAATATTTCCATTGATACAGCAGCTTGTATTGGCTTCATAGCAACTGTACAGAGATAACATTACATTTGGTGATCCTCTGGCTCTGCTTTTGGTATATCAAACATGAGCGCTAACAGTTGCATAGTAGGGTCTGTTGAGCCAGCACATAAATAAAATATGTCCTTTCTGTAGCAATGGGTTTGGATCCTTGGAAAAGCCCTGTGACATAAACTGGGGAAGACACTAGCTTAAGATCACTCAGCAAGCTTCTTGGCTCAGCATAGTTTTTTGGCATTGCCCTTCCAAATACAACACTCTTATCTATACTCGGGACATGTCAACCACCTGTGCTCCTAGTTGGGTGCCATAATACAGTGGTCCTGCAGAAATATTTTCTAGAAAATATATTGTGGGGGGTTTTCCTTTGTAGGCTAGCTCACACCCATAATGGAAACTTGCATGTGTTGACTATACCACCAGAACTTGTTCTGCAATGGCCACTTAGATCTTACTCTAACAACATGCTCTAGCCTAAGCTCATGCTCTTTCTCTGTTTGTGCTTTAAAGTGGGTTGTTTATCTTGTCAGCAAAGACTTTTCTTTGTTGCTCGTCAAATAATCATACAAATTCATGGTGAATGTGTCATTGCAGCCTTTTTGACACATGCTAGATCATGAAACAATAGCAACTATGCAAGCCCAAGCCCTTTTTCCTTTTACAATTCTAGGTCAGCTTGGTTAAAATAAGAATTAAGTTTTGACAGCTACTCACAGCTTTCCACCAGGTCCCTGGGGAATGAAGACCACAGTTTTCACTGAATTCCAAGCAGCATGAATCTGGCACCCGTGTGGTATTGTACACTTCAAACCAGTCAGTGAAGTTTGACACTCCACAGCATCTGAACTGGAAAAAAAAGAAAGAGGGGAAAGGCCATTGGACAAGGAGGACATGCAAAGGCTTAGAAGCCACAAGGACACTGGCAAATCAGATGGGGAACCAATGGACTTCAATAGGTATCCCGTTGTCATAGAATATTCAGTGCAATTCTCTTGCAGCACTTTCTTAATTGCTTAGTATTTTTTTTTTTTGTAATTCACCTTAGAATTGCAAGGTCTCCCAAAGGCCCCCTAGCATTTAGACACCTAGTCTATGGCAGTTAAGCTAGTGGCAGCGAGAAGCGTCCCCATGTCTTCCCAGGTCCACTGTGACATCAAAGCATGTCACTCACTCACTGATCTTATCACAGGGGTCAGGTGGGTGACAGAACCATTTACATCCAGAAATGCACCTCCTCATCAGATAGTTGGTGGGTTCAACCACTGCAAAAAAAGGGGCAAGAAAAAGAAGCCTGCCTACATCAGGAGTTGTATAAGTAGCACTGCCAGAATCCTAATAGTTCTGAATTGCCCTTTTCACTGGCCTTGGAGATTCAGGGGAGGAAACATTCCCACCAGAGGGTGGAGAATCCAGTCCACACTGCACAGAACCACTAAGTTAACACTATGTTAGGTATAAATGAAAGCCCAAGAAAGCGTTATTGGTTGAGATCTGTACATTTCATAAGAAAAATGAGAACTAACATTTATGTCAATGTGATAGTTTTTCTGCTGGGTTTCCTCTACCACCACTATTTCTTTTCTTAATTTCTTCTGCTTGGTATTTCATAATAAAAAACCCATGACTCAGCAAATGGATTGTCATCAAACGCTGGATTGCCAGCACACCAAAGCGCAATGATATTATTTTTCAAGTATGCTATTATCACTAGAAAAAAGTAAAGAACAGCAAATGAAATGGTTACAGCAATGAAACCATTTTTGTAAAGATGAGTGGCTTCAGAGTTGCATATACTCTGCCTTGAAATTGTCTTTGACAGTTAGTAATAGAGATATTCATGATCTGGGAGCTGAGATTGCAGCCAGCAAACTTTTCTCCAAGTAGCAGAGTACTAAACTTTGATTTGTATCTCTCCCATCGTACCTTCCCAGCATGTGGATGAGCATTTTAGTGCCTCATGAAGGTGAGTGATTTACAGTTCTGGCTAAGCAGGCAAAATGTTCGCTGGAGGAGTTCAAGCTTCTCTCACACACTCCAGTCTGCAAACCTGAAATACAGCCTACAGCACTGTGCAGCCTGGGCATGTGAATTCATTCACCATTCTGAGATATTCCTGCTGCGGCTTCAAAATAGTCTTCATCTAACTTGCTGCATCCACGAAACCTGCAGGCTCACTGGCAGGACGTGGTAAGAGGCCTTAGAGGCTCATGGAGGAGTGAACCCCACTTCACTCACAACCACAACACGGTGTGAGTAAGGGGAGCGATTTTCTCGTTTTGGGGGGAAATAACTGTAGCTTATTCTGAAAGCATTGGAGGTCAGTGGCAGGCAAGGGAACACTCATCACTACTTGGGATGTGACAATTCTGAACTAAGAAAAGCTTGGTTGGATACTTGAATTTCAAAGTATCCCAGTACCATCTTGTGGATCAATAAAAGGAAAGGTGTGGTATACCAACTGTGATCAAAATTATTCGTAACTCTGTTGTCCACACAGGAAAAAAGAAGGGTGGTGGTGGTGCTAAGCAGATTCATGATAGTCTCTCGTCCCTTGTGATTGGGAGATTTGTGCTGTGCCTTCTTGCCTCTCAAATCCCTCCGGATAAAATCTTCTAAGGTGGATGTTTATTTACTACTTTGTAAAGGATCAAGTCTATTGCACTAACAGAGAAATCCAATATAATTTACAGTATTTCAAAACTGGGCTCTTGCTTTTGTTTTCAGAATTAGTTTCTTGAGTAATTGAATGTCTTATTACAGCCACCATATATTTTAAAGGGGTTGCTTATTCTGGGCCCCCATGGGCTATGTTGAATAGGTTATTGATTTTTTTGCACTACCTTTCTTGAAATTGGATTAATATATACTCCCTGCAATAACTCCTTTAGTTCCTTGCTCTTCCAGAGTTCCTAAAATTAATAGCATTTCCCATTTGTGCAAAGCAATATGTCACAGCAATATAGGATTGGGAATGCACATCCATGAAAATGTATAAGAGGAATCTTGGCAGACAATGTAGCAACTCAAGATAGAAAGAGAACAAGCCACTGGGATTATGACAAACCTCTCCTATTGTGTTGAGTACAAAAGGAATATTTAAACACAAGGATTCCCAGTGATTAATTGCAATAAATCTGGAGCAATTACTCACATCAAGGGAAGGCACAGAGCACATCAGACAGCCTAAAAACTGCAGTGCATATTGAAATACTATTTTAGTATTTTTATTATGGATTAACACATTCAGATTATTTTATTTTATGTATTGGGTTTTAGAATCATAGAACTGTAGAATTGGAAGGGACCTCAAGTGCCATCTAGTCCAACTTCCTGCAATGTAGGCATCCCAGCACAGTTCCGGAGCCTCGTTCGCATCCCGAATGGAACGCAAGACATGCGCAGGTCATGTTTTGCCACTTGCACGGATGTGCGTGACGTCATTTTGAGCGTCTGCGCATGCGCGAGCGGTGAAACCCGGAAGTAACGCGCTCCGTTACTTCTGGGTTGCCGCGAAGCGCAACTCAAACGCGCTCAACCTGAAGCGTATTCAACTCGAGGTATGACTATAATAACTAACAGATGGCCATCCAACAGCATTTGGTATCCACAATGCTGTTACCATCTAATGAAGGTCACAGCAATAGCCCTTTTATTGTCACTGTCATGCCTGTCCCAGTACGTTTTGCGTTTACTGTGTTTTATACGGTTTGCTGTGTTTATGATTATTTTTATTACTGTGAACAACCTTGAAAGATGGTATAGAAACAGTATGAATAAATATTTTTGAGCATAAGAGATGACACTGTGGAGGGCTGATGCTGGGACCAGAGCCAGGTTTGAGCTAGTAATAAACTGATACCAAACTCCAGAGAGGTTTGGTCTTGGCTCACAATTTGCCTAAGATGGAGTTCATATCTTGAACTCCCCAAGTCCACATCACCAACATTGATGGGACTCATTTCTACATTTAAAAGGTCTGGGAGTAGTGGTGCGTCATCACGGTATACAATATATATTAAACAAATACAGAGATAAGGGAAATGTTCTCTTTCTTTCCTCCCTGACATATGGAAAGGTGCCTCAGGCAAAGAAGAGAAAAATGGAGAAATCAAAAGGTTCTACCATATAAACTGCCAGAGAGACCAGATGAGCTCATTTCCCATTGTATCCACTACTGTTCCAAAATTATAATGGAAATGTGACATCTTCTGTGCATTAAAATCACTCGTGAGATGGAGTGGCTTGGTTCTACCCCCTTTGATGAATTTTCACTGCCTGCCCATGCTACTAAAAATAGGCGCTTTTAGACAATTTGCCCATGTCTTTATGCATGTCTGCATGAAGAAGAGCAGATGAAATAAGTTGAAAGCTGCTAACGAATTCACTGCAGGTAAATTTTGATGCAGATGTGGAAGGACTATTAGGCTACATGTCCTGGTTCATAGGTAAGTACCTGTGTACCAGGGTCATGATGCCTAATAAGTGCCACATATTTATAGGGCTGAAGCAGTCCCAAGAACACTTTTAGAAACCAATATGAAATCCCATTATGCTGGAAATTCAAAGCCCAAAGGATATATTGTGTGCAGATGGATAAAAGACAAAAAGAACAACAACGCAAGCTTACATCTGTTTGTATAATGCTCCATGCATTAGTTAGGCCAATATTTCCATCAGTTCCATATAAATGAAGCCCTTTCTTCAGGTCCCGCTGAGCATACTTATCAATCTGGAAATGAAGCACATACAGTTGCATGTAAGTATGCTAGACCTTGAAAACTCCAAAATGACACTTTTAAAGCAGACTCCTCTGAAAAGCCATGGTGATGATTGCACTGAAGGTGGGATTTGTGTGCAAAATGTGGCAAAGAAAGAACTAGGTGGGATCTGGGCTAACGTGCATCTGGTGTGAAAATGGCCTCAGCACCTAGCCCATATCCTGACTCTTCCTCTGATTCTCTGAGCCATGGATCTGGCTTTTTTCGTATCAAGGAAGTTTTGAAGGAACAATGCTGGCCTTTTCCATTCATTCGGTCCTCTTTACTTAATAACTTTGCTATATATAGAATATTTATTGATGAGGATCTTGCTTTCTCTGGTGTGGAAAAGATGCCTCCTTCCTTACATTTTTTTTAGCACATTCTGTATTGTATAATAGGTTTCAAAATAACAGTGTGTCGAATAGCTCAGTATTGTGGAACATTATCAGTATTGCAGAGTGGGATAGATGCATTTTAGACATCACATTTCCAACAGCAGTTCACCTTAATAAAAAATGGTTATTTCTATATGAAGAGCTTAGGGCAGAGCCGACATGCAGAAGCCACTTTTCACAAACATTTTGATCCCATGAGAAGCACTATGAACCATGGTCACCCAACTAAGTGTCAAGGAAATATATCCTGCCCTCTGCATTTGCATGTCTATATAGCATCACTATGCAGTCAATTCTAATTACCTATGGTGGCATCGGCATGAACCAAGCACAGGAAGTGTTTTCCATCACTCTGAACCAGCTTGCTGGTGTCATGTAGCCAAATCTGACAGGCTATGTGGAAATTTGCCATCCTCACTCTGATACCTCACTGGCTTGGATCATGTAATAAAGGAGAAGAAAACTGTGCTGAAGGAACAGCCAAGGGGATAAAAATGAGTTCCCTGGGTGACCAGTGAACGTAAATGGGCACTCATTTTCCTTAGTAATGGAGTTAATTGATAACAAAGTACACCCCACTTGGAAAATAAATACATTTTTTAAAATGAACTGTGGAAGTAAAAATAAAGAGAAGGAGTGCAAAAAAGGCAGCCATGAAATTGAAGGCATCTGACAGGTAAATAAGATATGCCAGCTTAGAAATAAGACAGCTTGGAAATGCTGATCTTCATAATAGGTGGGTGCTATATCAAAGTACACTTCACTTGCAGATTAATATGGAATAGGAGTGCCCAAACTAAAAAAAGCAGAAAAGTGTCTAAGCAGCAAACTTAATGAAATGCAAAATGCCAAGGTTGCTTTTCTGCAAACCATTTGACACAGTTGCACGGCATGATAATCCCTCTGACTAGGATTCAGATGTTGCCCTACTTAATGTAATCTTCATGCCCTGTTTCAGATCAATAATTTTTAATAACCCCAAGTCAACATTTGTAAAATGCCTGAAGGATCCAGAGGAATATTTTGTTAGCTCAGGTGTGCTTTAACACATTTTCTCATTTTACCATAATAGATTGCTTAACTATGCATTTCTGTTCAACATTGTACCATGTAAGAAAATCACTAATGTGCAACTTGTATAAATAGAAATCAGTAGCAGCAGGTGACAACATCTGGGAGATCTTCACCTTTTCCCAGGACACAAGTTAACCTGAGTGACAGGAAAAAGCTTATGGGTTAATTAATACCCCTCAAGGCACAGCAGATTTTTCTGGCTGAGCCCCTTCCCACTGTGCTAAAAAGCCCAAACAAATACGTGCATATATTGCATGGATTATTCTCATTGTATTGAAGAAATAGTTGCTATCAGTTACTATACTGATGTCTGGCATGAAGGTGTACCAACCACAGACTGATCAGAAGCAGGTTGACCACCAGGGGTGGCCCAGTTTTCAGAATACCTGGTTAAAAACAGTAAATGCAAGTTGCAGCACGCATTTCATAACTTTGTGCCACAAATGTTTACCAGCTTGAATATTCTGAATGATTAGCCATTATCACTACTTTAAACACCACCATTCTTGATTTGACTTTGCAAAGCATACTCAGGAGTTCTAGCAAATACATGTTGTTGTTGTTGTTGTTGTTGTTGTTGTTGTTGTTGTTGTTGTTGTTGTTGTTATACTTATTTATACTATATCCTGCCCTTTTCCCCAGAACAAGACTCAAGGCGGCTTCCAGATACAATAGAAAAAATTAAAATAGCCTTGGGAAGAGCAAAACATTCTGTACATGCAACTGAGATAAAGTCTCTTTCATAGCTCAGGGTATCATACAGATAAATATGCTGCAGATTACAAAATGCTTAAAATGCTACCTTATTATAGTAATGTAACTCATATAAGCAATGATAGGTCATTCTAATGTTTAGTTACAAGAGCATCTGAGCTACTGTGAAACATGCAAGATTTTTTTTTTTTAAAGTAACCAACCATTTAAAATTAACCAGATGCCTTGTATCTTATTTTCCAGCAGATCAGATCATATATGTGTGAGGCTGATTTTTAGGTGTCCTCGTTTGGGCATCTACAGTATGTGCTTACATTCAGAGTTGTCCTTTCTTCTCCCACCCCCAACTATCCATCCATCCAGTGTAGACAATGGTGCATAATAAGCTATACCCCCCCCCACCTCAAGAGTTTTGGAATCTTGTCAGGCGGATGATGTTCACACAGCTCCAGTGACTTGTATTTGAGAAAGTAAGAAATATTTTAGGTAGCTGCTGGGGGTGAAACAGTTCCAAGAAAGACAGAAGAGCTCTTCTGCCACACGATGCCTTCTGGGAGCAGGAGGGGGTCACTGGTGGACTCCTGGTGAGGCCTATTAAATGAATACATTGCTTCCCACTTTAAAAAAAGAAGTAGTAGTAGTCTTGAAGTGTTTACAATCAAATAAATCATGTATATTAATAAGTAATAAAATTAAAGCCTGGAGTGGAGAAAAATGCAGAGACTTTTCAGCTCTGAGGCAGAGGAGGCCATGGAGGCCATGACTCTGTGGAACTGTTGCCTCCCTGTGGAGGAGCAGCTGTGGAAAGACAGCTTCCAGAAAGCACTGGAACTTAAAATGTAGATTTAGACACTATGAGCAGATTCTTTGTACCTCAGCATCACAGGGGTTTCTTTATACACACCCATCCCTAATTTTTAGAAACAATGTCCTTAGTGTCATCATTACTCCTGTCCAGCACTGAGCAACAGTGTCTGGATGAAGGAAGCATGGGTTGATTTCTTTAAATATATATATAAAAAATGCTGAGCTTAACAGCAGCATTCCCATGGATTCCCACCTGTGGACAGAAATTCTAATTTCAGGCCCCACTGCTCTCTAGTGCATCACATTCTCTTCACCCCCACCCTCCCAATTACTGAGAGCCCAAGCAGCAATTATTTCATACTGAGGAAAGCCTCCTAGGCAGTGTCTTGATATTGGTAAGTAAATATTTCTGACCTTTCTGATGATTGCTTCCCTCCTCCCCACTAACAAGGGAGAAGAAGCTGTAAAGAAATGACAAAATATCCAATTGTTTCCCACTGGGTGAAACTTCTAATTTCATGCCTTGATAATCATTCTCTACAGATAGCGCGGAGCTGGAAATTGAATGTAAATAGAGAGCACCTAATCTATAAGGTCATTTGCAGGAGCCCCGCTTTCTCCTGGGGAAAAGATGTGATTGATTGTACTACTAGATGAGGACAGCTTAATACTGGGCTAGGACATTATTCAGTACATGAACTGGCCATGAAAGTGAACGTTACACGGAGACTTTATTTTAGGATAAGTCCTGGATGTGAAACTATATCAAAGGCACACCTGCCAGGGGAGAGGCTAATTTGGGATCAGATCTGAATTGTTTTAGATCATGGGTAGGCAAACTACCCATGCAGCCCAATCACCTTCTAAATTCCTGACGGTCCGGGAATCAGCATGTTTTTTACATGAGTAGAATGTGTCCTTTTATTTAAAATGCACCTCTGGGTTATTTGTGGGGCCTGCCTGGTGTTTTTACATGAGTAGAAGGTGTGCTTTTATTTAAAATGCATCTCTGGGTTATTTGTGGGGCATAGGAAATCGTTCATTCCCCCCCCCCCATATAGTCTGGCCCCCACAAGGTCTGAGGGACAGTGGACCGGCCCCCTGCTGAAAAAGTTTGCTGACCCCTGTTTTAGATTAACATTCAATTTTAGAAATTTGTCTTATGCTGTATAAATAAAATAATTATACATGGCTGTACTTCTTCATTTATATTTTCTGTGTTTCAGTTATTTCCCTTCCCTTCCACCATCCCAAAATAAAGCACCTTGCTGTCTGATCTGCTGAAGCTCTTTTAAGCTGGCAGCATTTCATATCGACTAGCAAACTGACCTGGCATGCTGCTGAGCAGAAGAAAGCATTTGCAATATCAAGGCATTACTTTCCAAGCTTAAAAACAGAAATCAAGAGCAAAAGAGTAAATCAGCAGTTTAAGATGCTGAGATAATAATTAGGTGTGACAAAGGTATAGGTTGCTAAAATACCATATTTTGCAGGACGATACAAAATCTTAAACTGCAATGGGAAATGACATAACATGCACGTATGGGACAGAAAAACCACATAGTCAGGTCTTGGCCTACTGTTGATTATGTAGCAGTTCTGCTGCTGAACAGAGAAGCTGCTGTTCTAATGGGTTGTTATTATTGGGGTGACCAAGCATTTATAGGCCCTACATCACCATAAAGGCTGCAGCCTTTGAATCCTGCAGGTATCCTAGGATTGGCTGTGCAGGGGCTCCTACCACTCACAAAAGATCACATGGGTGGAAATTGTGGAAATCAAGAATGAAGAAAATGCATGTCATATATGGACAATAAGGTAGTCTACTATTCATTTTAACGCTGACTGATTTTGTGATTGTAATAATCAATTCACCCTTGGCACTGGCACATCAAATTATGTCAAATATTGTGGGCGCCAGCCACACCTTCATATAAGTTAAACAGCCAGTTATTAACTTGCTTTGTCAAAGCAAAGAACAGGAACCCCTCACAACCTGGGATGAACTTGTCAAT